GAGCCAGAAGTCATATTGGCTCAGGTGCCTCGGACATCTCATAACCATGGAAACTACTGTGCACGTGAAATTGTCACCAGATGCCCAATATACCTGGTCCCATCACCTCCTGTTAAATATGTTGAGGGTTTGGCCTTGCCTTTAACATAAGAGCAAAGCCTCAAAAGAGCTATGAAAAAAAAAAAAAAAAAAGAGCTATGGACACAAGCCCTTGCAGAACTCACTAGTGTCATCTGTACCACATTCTCCCTGCTGCCATGCCACAGGTCATGGCCTCCTTTAAGTCCCTCTTATACACCAAGCTTCCTGCCTTGGGGCCTTTGTGCTTGCTATTCACACATTCCCTGCCTTACCCTCTATCCTCATCTCTGTTAACTGATTTAAGGCACACACTAGCAAGGAATTAGAGAAGAACTGGAAATGGATGGGTGTGATTATTCAATTTCTGCCTGACGGGGTCTTCCCAGGTGGGACTCCCATTGCATAATGACTTTGTCTATTTTGTCCTTCACTGGCTCATGTACAGGAGACCAGCTGTTTAAAACTATGGATATATAATCCTGATAAAACAAAAAGCCACTCTGTGCAAAGTCTGTCCTCCTTGGGAAACCATAAAAGGGTTCTCTGCAAACCCTAGAGCTTTGAAGAACAATCTTAAAAATAGCCCACACATAGGGGCTGGGGATTTAGCTCAGCGGCAAAAGCGCTTGCCTGGCAAGCGCAAGGTCGTGAGTTCCGTTCCTGGTACCGGAGAAAAACCAAAAACCAAAAAAAAAAAAAAAAAAAATAGCCCACACAGCTCCCTTTACAAATGAGGAAAGTGAGGTCCAGCAACCTCTTTGCCCAGGGTCTCATGATTAAAAAGTGGTGAAGCTCTACCCCCAGCTCCTGAAAACAGCCCAGGGAGCAGGCAGCAGAGGGTGACCAGGTGGAGCACATCAAGTCTATGCCAATAAGTAACAGCTGGGGTAGGGCCCACTGTGGTGCAGTATGTAGAGCAGTTCCGCAAACATGGTCTGGGGAACCCTTGGGGGCCTCCAGATCCTTTAGGAAGACACAAAAGGACAAAGCCATTCCATAATAACACTAACATGCTGTTTGGCTTTCATACTCTCATTTGCTCACAAGCATGCAGTAGAGTTTTCTAGAAGATACATGACATGGTGACATTGTCAAACAGTGTCACATATGATTATATATTCTTATGTTTTAAAAGTCTGAGAAATGTTTATAACATGGTAAACACTGATAGGTGTAAGTTCCCTAAAGAAAAGCACTTTGAGGCCCTCAATAATTTTTAAGAGTATAAAAGGTCTTAGATGAAAGCGTTTAGGACCACTAGCACAGAGCAATCTCAGGATGAGGGGTGCACATGCTCAGTTATATTCCAGAGCCCTGTCAGTGTCCCTGTGCGCACCCCTACCCCAAGAGGCTCTCATCTGGCTATGGAAGTGTGACTCATAAGATGTCCAAAATGCCTACAATATCTCAGAATTTCTCATCCTGTTCTTCCTTATCAGGCTGACTGGAAATCCTACACTAAGTACTGTATTACGTTCATGATTTTACTTGAATCTCATAGCAACTACAGAATATTAGGTGGATCATCTCATTGTACAGACAAGGAAATTAAGCTTCACAAAGGTTAAATCTCCTGCTCAATGTCACTGCCAATCTAAGAGGTGCCAGTTATACTTTCCCTCTTGGTCTATCTCAAAACAAGGCCTGAGGGTCTCCCTCTCTGCCAAGAGGAGACAAAGCTGTGGGTATGAATTGGCCAGCAATAAGCAGCTAACAATAAATGAGGTGATAAAAAAAAATGAAAACTACTCACGCAACTTCCAGGCTGTCTTGGTGACCACAGGGGTAGCCATCTTTCAGGGGCTGGCACCTGAAGCCTCACCCACAAAATGGAATATGCTTTCTTCGTGGGGTGGGGGTGAATACCCCCCCCCCTCGATCCACCAATCAAGTTGGCAGGGAGTTCCCACACATCCAGGCAGAGGGAATGCCTCTTCAGGCCCTAGACTGCCTGGTGTTTTTAAATCACCCACAGCAGCAACAGCAGCAGCCTGTGCACATCTGTCAGTATCCCAGATCATGGAATGTCAGGCTTGAGCCATCTCAGTTCAACAGCTGGCTGGAAAACAGAGGTGATGGCTTGCTAGGAAACACTTGGTATGAGGAACAGCTCCCTGGATCATCACTAAGGCTGCCTGACAGAGTGACACCCACCAAAGCTACTAGAGCCAGAAGCTGCACTGCAAATTGTTTGAGACTCTGCAGAGGGGTCACCTCAAGCAGAATGACCTAGAATATAGAGCAAAAGAAGCTCCTCCCAGGGGCAGAGATAATGGAAGCGGCTCTGCTCCAGCACGCTGCTGCCTAATGTGCAGCACCTGCAGTGGGGCAGGGACGACTAGGTGTCTGCAGTTCAGATTGCTGGGCATCACTGTTTTCACCTGATATATAGGATGGGGGCTGGAGCCGGATGATAAGCTTAGGGGCCTATGAGGGATAGCCCAGTGACAACCATTAAAATCCTCTCTGGTGATAATCTCAAAGGGGATCCTGAGGGTCCAACCTTCTGGCTTCTGGCAAGGTAACTACACCTGCCTCCTTCAATTCCCAAAGGTGGGAGCTGGGCCTCCCGTGCAGGTGTGAGTACGACTGTAAAAGGCCACCTCACGCAGCCTTCCACCCCCTTCCCACAGCCGCTTCACCTCTTTCCCACGAACCATCTCCCCTCACTCCCTTTCCCAGACCCCGGGTTCTCTCACGTCCCCGCCGCTGCTGGCGCCTCCCATTCATTCGCACTCCTGTTCCTCCTGCCCTTACTCATTGCCCATCGTCCTGGGACCCCCAGCTCTGCTTCCGGCCTCCACGCTAGCCCCGCTCGACCCAAAGCTAGGGCTGATCCCTCAGCCTCGTCAGATCCTCCCGCTTCTCGCGCCTTGCGAGGTACAGTCTCTATCCTCCCCTCGAGCCCCAGCTGCTCCCACAGCCCGGTCACCCCCGCGTGGCTCGGCCCAGTCCCCGGGTCCATCTTCCTCTCGCCCCCTTGCCCACTCTACCTGCAGCTGCGGCTCCTCAGGCCGAGGCCCTGCTCCAAGAGCGACCCCCACTTGCCTCCATCCCCTGCCCTGATTGGCCGCTGCTTGACAACCGACCCTCACAACAAAACCTCCGGCCTGGAACCCCGCCCACCTCACCCATCTCACCAATCAGCTGCCGCAGACGCTCCACCTCCCTCAAGGATTACCAAAGAAAGCAGGCTCTTCTGAGGCTTTTCGTAGGTACCCGCTCCCTGTTCCTTCTAATCACAAGTAAGAACCGTCCAAGAGCCGCCCCTCGGTCTCTAATGAACCAATGCGGGTTACGATTTGCTTGGTCCCGCCTCCACCTCAGGCTTCCCCCTCACTTCCTTCTCTTCCTTGAACCTAGGTTGCTTCTGAAAAATTTGCGAGATGCCCTCCAATGGCGGCTGCGCCAATCGCTTTAGCAACTGTCCCGGATCGACCAGTCATCGGTCGCATTGTTGGAAAACCCATGCTCAGCTAGCCAATGGGGAGGGATTTCGGGAGCAGCGTGAAGCCAAGGGCCTTCCATCTTGGAATGGGGCGAAACAGCCGTAGCCTTTTGCCTCCCGGTTCCTTTTAACTGCGTGCAGTGCCTCAGAGGCCTGAGGACTTTGCTTCTCATCTTAGATCCAGACATCGGCTTGAGTCCCCTGCAGGAGCCCCAGAGGGAAACAATGCCTGATTCTAGGTTCACACAGCCGCCCCCTGGCGAGTGGCTGCTCCCACTAGGGTGACAGCGAACCAGGGCGACGCCGCCCTGCTGTGGAAAGACCCAACCGAGCCGCCCCAGTTTTCCTCCACTCATGCCCCGCAGGTCGGACCGTTTGGTCTTAGTACGCCCACCACAGCTCTAAAGGGTAAGAATTCCTGTTCCCGTTTACAGATGAGGAAACTGAGGTGCTGGTGAAAAATCACAACCGAAAAGTAAGAGCCCCAGGACTGGAACCCTTTTTCTGAAAGCCAGAGGCTGGGGGAGTCCCAGCTCGGCTGTACCCCACCACCAGCAGCAGCCACATTAGAGGCAGAGGGTCCACGTCCTCCGCATACTGAAACAGAGCTGATGAGAATGATACAAGTCAGCCTGCACCCCCTTACTATTTATTACAAAGTAGAGAAAATTTGAAAGGATACCACCTAGATTTTGACACGTGCCAACAGCCGGCTACATATACGTTGTGTGTTTTTTCCAGAACTCTCTGAAATTATAGATAGCATGATATTTCAATCCTGAAGATTGTCCCACTTGAGGGATTTATCTGTTACGGTATCATTTACCTTGCACTTCCCCTGAATTTCTTGTTAATTGGAAGTTAAGTCTAAAGACTTGATTAGACTTATGACATGCATTTTAAAACACTGAAGTAAACTACTCATACCCCAGATAACACAAACTGTACCTGTACAGAGTCAGTGAGTTTTTACCAACAGCACCACCTGGTCAAGAAACAGAACAACATAACCAGCATCCGAAAGCTCCCCCGCTGTTTCCTCCCAGTCACTAACCCTCACACCCCAGAAATGACCACTATCCTGACTTCGAACCATCAGTTAATTTCACCTGTTTTTGTTCTTTACACAAATGTAATCATGTAATGTATACTTTACTGTATTTGGAATCTTTCAATAATATTATGCTTGAGAAATTCGGGGCATCCCAGGTAACTTGCTCGTTCATTTTCATTGCTCTATAGCTACCTCTATATTCTGAGCATTTGGGGCTGGGTATTCTTGTTGTAGGGGACTGTTCTGTGCCTTGTCAGAGGAGCACCCTCGTTTCCACCCACTGGATGCCAGTCGCATTCTTCTAACCAGTTAGGGTAACCAAAAAAAAAATCTCAAGACAACTGCGCTAGTCAGGTATTCATCGCTTGGACCAAATACCTGACATGAACAACATGGTTTCTGTCCATGGATAGCTGGCCCCAAGACAGTCATGGTGAAGGGCATGGTGGAAGAACATTGCTCATCTCAGGGCAGCCAAGAAACACAGTGGGTGAGGAGCCAGAGAGAAGGAGACCAGGGACCAGCTATAGTCCCCAAGTTCATGCTGCCATGCCCTACCCACACGCCCCCAGTGTGCTTTGCTAAACTAAATGTCTCTTAAACTATTTAAATTGGCAATCAAGATTAACCATTACGGGGAAGTAGCTCAGTGGTGCAAGCGCCTGCCTGGCAAGTGCAAGGTCCTAAGTTTGATTCCCAATACAAAAAAAAAAAAAAAAAAAAAAATTAAATAAGATTAACCATTACATCTGTTGCATCCAGGGGTGTGTGGGCACCGCACCGCAGCTTTACTTTGCTGTCGAGCAGCTCCCTAGGATTTGTAAACCCAGCACCAGTAAAAGATTAAAGGGACCAAGTTTACAAAAGGAAAACAAAAACAATTTATTTGAAAGAAAGAAAAGAAGCAGAGGACAGACAACTACCTTGTGAGAAGGTGGGGGGCTCTGGAAAGATGGAGGCCCTTTTATTCCAGAACATTTTTATTGAAAATGTGGCAGAAAGGCCTTCCCCCTGGAGTTTGTTACAACCTGATTGGCTATTTCAGACCCTATGGCCCTTAATTTGAATACCATCATCTGTGTGCAAACTCCTATGGTGATTACTTGTTTTTCCTTTGTCCTGTCAAGCTGTGTGTGTGACATTTACGACTCTTTCTTTTGTTTGTTTGTTTTTCTCCGGTACACGGGAATCAAACTCACGACCTTGCGCTTGCCAGGCAGGCGCTTTGCCGCTGAGCTGAAGCCCCAGCCGCAGAATTTGTGAGTTTAAAAGGACTTTACTTACAAGGTCAAGAGAGAGAGCGCTGTCTTTTAAATAGCCGCCCCTCCTCTCCTTTGCCAGGTGGATGTAAACTTGGTCAGGGCCCCTTCCTGGTTTATCAGCTTTCTCCTGTCTTGTTAATTGCACCTTCAGTAAAGTTTTAACTCTTTCTAGTCAGGATTAGCCAGAAAGCCCAATGTGGCCTTTCCCTATTTACAGACCTTTGCCCTCTACACAATCACAATTTATGTCTCCATGCTTTTCCTCTCTGGTACTGGGGATTAAACCCAGTAACAACCTGTCCCTGAGCTACATTGCCAGCCTTTTTTATTTCATTTTTGGGACAGGTTCTTGCTAAATTGCCCCAGCTGTCCTTGAACTTGGTGATCTTCCAGCCTCAGCCTCCTGAGTAACTAGGATTACAGTCATACAGCACCACGCCTAGCCTTTTGATTTTACTCTTGATGGACATTTGGGGTAGTTTCTAGTTTGGTGCTCTCACCCATATTGTTGCTGGAAACATTCTAGTACATGCCTTTTGGTGGATAACTCTCTCCATTTCTGTTTTGTTGTAGTTTGTCTGGGGTTTGAACCCAAGGTCTTTGCCCTGAACTACAGCCTCCAGCCCTTTTTAAAATTTTGAGACAAGGTCTCTCTAGGTCACTGAATTACACAGGCTGGGCTCTAACTTGCAATTTTTTATTTTTATTTTTATTTTTTATTTTTTGTCTTTTTGAAACAGGGATTCACTATGCAGTTCAGGCTGGACTTGAACTCACTTTGTAACCTAGGCTGGCCTTGAACTCACAGCAATCCTGAGCCTCCTGAATGCTGGGATTACAGGCGTACCATGGCCGGCTAATTTGCAGTCTTCCTGTTTGAGCCTACCAGAATCCTGAGATTACATGTGTGTGCCATTGTGCCTGGCTTCTCCTTCTGTTGTGTTGTCCCTTGCTTATTGGATAGATGGATAGATGGATGGATCTGTATGTGGGTGGTATGTTCATCTCTCCATCACTATAACAAAATATCTGAGATAATAAACTTATAAAAACAGAAGGCTTTTTTGCTCACAGTTTGGGAGGTTACAGACCATGATTATGCAGACCCATTGGCTTTAGGCCTCTGGTAGGGGGCAGCACATCATGGCAGAAGCACACAGCAAAGCAAAACACCTACCTCATGCTCAGCGGCCAAAGAGGGAAGAGAGGAAGATCCTGGGGCCCGCAGAGGCCCCTCCTTGACCTAAAGACCTCCCGCTGGACCCCACCTCTTAAAGCTCCATCTTTTCCCAGCAGTGCCTCCCTGAGGACCAACCCAGCTGGGCCTTTCTGGTACATTCAGGACCTGCACAACAGCACCTTGGCAGAGCTGACCCCAGAAGTGGAATTGTTGGGCCATAGTTAACCTTCAGTAGACACTGCCAGTTTCCCACAGAGCTGGTGCTGATTTTATACCTCAGTGGGAAAGCTGTTTATGAGCTACTGTTGCTTCTCCTTGCCAGCACTTGTTATGCTGATTGGTGTGTGGTAACATTTCCTTTCCCTGGAGACTAATGAATTTGATTTTCATGTTTTGCTGCCCCCCAGACAAGGGCTCTCTATGTAATTCAGGCTGGTCTTGAACTCTTGGAGATCCTCCTTCCTCAGCCACCTGAGTTCTGAGATTACAGGTGTAATCTGTAATCACCACATCCAGCCTGCATCTTGCTTTTGATCCTTGGGTATTTTTTTTTTTTTTTTTTTTTTTTTTTTTTTTTTTTTGTATTTTTGGGATGGGTCTCACTATGCAGTTCAGGCTGGCCTTGAGATCACTATGTAGCCCAGGCTAGTCTCAAACTTGCAGCGATCCTCCTGCCTCAGCCTCTTGAGTGCTGGGATTACAGGCATGTGCCACCATACCTGGCTATGCCATTTTCTAAGCTAACATTTAGTGAGTGCTCTCTGGGTGACATTGCCAGTCCTCTATGTTCCATAAGCCTTATTTAAGGCAGCAGTGTCAGCCCCATCTCACAGATGGGTAAATCCTAAGAGGAGGAAGTGGGGCTCAGTCCCTGGTACTCACATCAAGCCCCTGTGTTCTTGGGTGTGCACCTTGGCCTGGCCATTCGCACTCTGAGAGCATGGCCACCTCACCATGTGGAGGTCTGACAGATTGCTTGCAGTGGCTGTGGGACCATGTGCAGAAGTGCTGTGGAAACTTCACCTTCCCACCAAGAAGCAAGGAAGCAGATGGGGAAGACGGCTGGGTGGGTGGGAAGGGGTGGTCCCAGGCTACAGGTAAAGAAGGGAAGGAGAAAAGGTGGACTGGAGCTTACGCATCTGAGACACAAATGGCAAATTGAAAGTGTGTTTATTTACAGGAAAACTATGAGAGGTGCGAAGCAGTGTGGCAGTGAGACCAGGCCTGAGCGGAAGGGCATTAGCGGGCTGTAAGATGCCCGGGGCCAGGCTGGATGGACTTCTGTCTGGTCTCCGGCAGCTTCCATCATAGGCCCATGAGGGTCAAGCAAGGGCTTTGAGGAACTCTGCCAGGCGTGGATCCTTGTAGAGCTTTTCCTCCAGTGCCAAATACTTTAGGGGAGCCAGCTCCTTGTGTCTGAAGCAGAGGGAGGA